GACACTGTAATACTAAATAACATCTTTATAATTGTCGCTACTAGTTTCAATTTACTTGAGGTAAAAGTTAATATTAATGACACTGTAATAACACTTAATGACATTCATAACTGGTGCTACTTGTTCCACTTTAGTTGATGTAAAAGAAATTGTTAATGAGTCTGTTATTAAATCATTTGTCCGTGTAATAAAGCTTAGTGAAATCTTTATTGCTTGTCCTACTTGTTTTGCTTTATTTCAGGGAGTGGAAATATTCATTGTTTTGTTAAAGCTTTTGCTAGTGTAATATTAAATCATTATGACTACTATTATGACAAATTTATGTCAGATCATGATTTCTTGGTTAATGTCAAGTTGTCAAAGACATTTTGAATAATGTCAACTTTGTATTAAAAGTGTCATGATTTACCGAATGACACTTTATGACAACAGTCATAAATATTCATGAATACTTACTGATGTTCATGACAGGTGTTATGTTTATGATGGTGTCATGTCAGTCTTATTCACACCCCTTTAATTAAAGTGTTACCAAAACTGATTTGCTTGCCTGCTTTACAGGTTTTGGGACATGTGTGCTCTCTGGGCTTGATCTTCTAAAGGTTTGCACATACAAAAACAGGTGCACACTTAATATCATCTCGTAATTCAAGTTTATTTGATTGAAGATGTGGAGACAAACACTAATAAGCCAGCTTTTGTCTGGCTTATCCAATCTACAAATATTTATTTTTAGAAATTTTAAAATTTTTCCCGACATTTGTCAGGAAAAATGTTAAAATTTTTCCCAGGGTTCACAGTAATCTGTGAACCCTGAACTTTAGTGGACTGAGGGAGATAAAGGCCATAACTTGATTTTGGTGACGCCACAATTATTATTTTCACTGAAAAGTAAACATTTTGATTTTAATTCACTTTAGCAAAAAGTCTGTCACACCATCATCCTCTTCTGTGCAATGGCTTCCCAGATAGCGTTGAAGATTCAGAAAAAATGCCCCGTACGTCAAGATATATGTTCAGAGAACATTTGCAGACGTTCATTTGCATTAATTATATTAAAGATTACCAAGGCAAAATAAATTATCTTAAAAATTACTTTATTCTGCTGTACATATTTGTACATAAGAGACACTAGCTGTAAAACTTTAATTGGAAATTTTTTAATGGTAAGGAGCATCAATACAATTCTCTTAGAATAAGACAATAAGAAAAAAAGTAAGGATGATTTAATATTTTCACATTCAAAAATACTTTCATGTAATGGCATGGTGTTTAGTGATTCTTAATAAAAATCCATAACTATGTTGATTTGTTCACAGCTGAATAACCGAGTTGCTTACAGATGTGGCCTCTTTTTTTATAAAATGCAGTCTCATCCAGTTCTCCTCAAATTGCATGATGATGTCAGTCAATGTGGCATTGCAAATTCTGTAAAAAAAAAAATACTTCTTTCAGATTATGGATTACATTAACAAGTGCTACAATACCAACAAAACTGCCACATAGTGCCTCTGTAGATCCCTGAAAGTCTGGCAGCTTCATTTTCATTCAATTATCATCATTACTATTCATTCATTATTATTTTTGCTAAAGCAAAACTGGGAAGTCATAAACCGTCTAGAACTGCTAATGGCCTCTGCAGCTTTAAATTGGAATCTTACATTGTCTAAGATTTTATCATCTCATCTAGTTGGGGGAAGGTTTGTGTAAACTTTACAATTATATGTTACAGCTCCACTTCCACTGCAATTTCACAAGGCAGGATATAGCAGCCAGCCTGGCTGATGTAAATCAGAAGAATAAGATCTATAAGTGCATCATATTACGCTTCAAGACTTGAGTACATTTCACAAAACTATATTTAGTGTTATGCACTTGTAACAATGTTCTAAAAACATTAAAAGTTCTGACACTCACCCCAAGATGAGAAACTGAAATTATTCCTGAAGCGCCTCCCATTTAGTCCACACATGCTTCGTTTGGTCTCCTTCTGATAAGTGTTATCTCTGAAGTAAGAACTGGAGGCCTGTTAGCTTCGAGACGTCCAATCATTCTCATGTTCTGCCACTCTATTTCTGCTGCAAACGAATTCATCCATACATAGTACATGAACTCTGGAGAAAAATTTGCAACTACATAACTTTTTTATTCTCATAGCATTTTCAGTCAAAGTCAGGGATTTTCTCCATTTAGCTGTTTTTGTCAAATGTTGTGGTGGCGACAGCTTCTGACATGTTGCGTTGCAGAGCCTCCACCACGAGTGGGGTTGGCTTCAGTCTTGGTGTAGAAGTTGCCATAGCTACATGCTATGGCAGTCACAGTTCAGTTTGTGAGGGACGCGTTCAGCTTGGTCCATCTTTGGTCAATAACAGAATCCCAAATGCTTAAACAAGTAACCACCTTTACCCAGCTTATTCACCAAAAGCCACAACAGATGTGTGGATTTTGTGAGTGTTTCTGTCACCGACACAGCAATGAGCTGCTGGTTGAAATTACTCTGAATTCAGCTTGTTTATGGGAAAGAGCCTATATCTTGAGAGTTGGGCAAGACACTTCACCCACTTTGTCTGCTGCTGGTGGTCAGAGGCCCCAGTGGCCCAGGTGCTTGGCAGCCTCGCCTCTGTCAGTGTGGCTACCAGTGATGTGCAGTGATGTTCATGGCTGGTGAGGCACTGACTTGATCAAAATCATAAGACCCCATGCATGTTGTTGTTTACATACGGAAATTTTGCACATGTGGACAACATTGAAGGGCAAAAAGACTATACTTTCACATGCCATCCATAGCTGCGCTGCCACGGTAGAATAATTCCGTTAACTCAATGAAACTTGGAAATATAGATATTGTGGTAACACTTTATTTGACGGGGTGTGCATAAGACTGACAGGACATTGTCATAAATGTGACATAACAGCTGTCATGAAGACGAAGGAGTCTTTATGAATGTCTATGACAGTTGTCATAAAGTGTCATTCTTTAAATAATGACACTTTTAATGCAAAGTTGCATTAAAACTTGTATTAAAACCCCATTAAAATTGTCAACTTTGCATTAAAAGTGTTATTTACCGAATGACAATTCAGGACAACAGTCGTAAACATTCATAAAGACTCCTTTATCTTCATGACAGGTGTTATGTCACATTTATGACAGGGTCATGTCAGTCTTATGCACACCCCGTCAAATAAAGTGTTACTGATATTATTAATTTAGTGCTATGCTCCACAACGAAGGGAAAACCCGTTGAACAACTCAAAACCACTTCTTTCCCGCTCTTTGTATCGGCCAAGCTACACATAGACCGTTGAGTGTAGCTTCACTTATTTATGGCTAGCTCGCTGACTCTTACTCTCCAGAAGTGGAGTCACAAGACCAATGTCTGGGATCATGAGCGCCCCCTGCCATGAGGCAGGAAAACTGCCTGTCTCACCTCGACTCTGTTCTCTGACATTTGATTGTTCCTCAGCACACAAATCGCATTATACATACAATCAGTGACAACAAACACTGTACATTATATAGATAAGCTAAATGATGGGAAATCAGTTTATGTATTAAATGTTTTTTAACCATTTTATTGGCGACGTGCAGACAGGAGGAGCATGCTCTCATCCAATGGCAGCCACTGCAGTTAGCTAGAGGTTGCGCAATCCAAGGTGAGGCTCAGCTCGCTGCTGCCTCACCAGCTGAGCTTCTTAGCATTTGAATGGGAAAATGCGAAAATTCAGCGATTTTGAAGAAAAAGTAATCAAAATTGGTAAAGCTAAATGAAAAATAAATGCTTTATAGTACAAAACACAGGGTGAAAATAGCAATATAAATTATCTTATATTATTTGGGCTGCACAGTGGCACAGTTGGTAACACTGTTGCAGCAAGAAGGTCCTGGGTTCGATTGGCAGCCTGGGGTCTTTCTGCATGGAGTTTGCATGTTCTTCCTGTGCATATGTGGGTTCTCTCCAGGTATTCCGGCGTCCTCCCACAGCCCAAAAAACATCCAGTAGCTCACCACCGTCAGTGTGTGTGTGTGTGTGTGTGTGTGTGTGTGTGTGTGTGTGAATGCATAACTGACTGAAGGTAGTATGAAATGCCTTGAACTTGATAAAGTTATTTACCATTTAAAAATCCTGGCCTGCTGATTTGAATTTTGGAAGACACAAACTAACATAAAAAATTGCAAAGTTTACAACAGTAGGGTGACTGTTGTTAACCACACAGGTGCAGACATGATGTGAGAGCGGAGGGAATATTTACACATAAGGCAGTCAGAAGAATTATGTCCTTGACTGCTTGCACAAAGGCTATTACTGCCCGTTAGAGCTACTGAGTAAAAACCTTTGAGGTGAACTTACTGTGGTCTTGAAGCTTCTGCTTGGTCAGTCTGAAGTTTTTCTCCGCCCTCCACCTCCATGGTGCAGTAAACAATTCGGTTTGGAGCGACTGACTTCAGCCCCTGGACCTCAACAATAACAACCTGAAACAAATATGGGAGGATCCATACTAAAATATTATTCTTGGGATTAATTGTCAGACAACATATACTTAGACGGGTTACGGTGATAAACATTAAACCTTTGCACAGGTTGTCACATTATAACCAAAAACTTAATTTAATTTCATTATTGAGGTTTTGTCATCAAACAAAAAAAGATTAATAAAAGAATAATTTAAAAAAGGACCATTGTAGTTCCAGCTGCAGGTGTATGGAGGAATTTTTCTGTCATAATCTAAGAGCATATATTTTCAATCTGAAAGCAGAATTTTGTATCTTTCCTTCTCAAACTTTTAATACTTTTGCTTAGATTTTTATTTTGAAAGCAGGACTTCACATCTTTCTTCTCAAAACTTGTAATGCTTGTACTCAAGACTTCTCCTCTTACTCAGACTTAGTGTGTTTTCACACCTGATAGTCTAGTAGACGGTTTGATTGGGGACCAAAATTGTAACATTTGTTACATTTTCAGACTGTAACAAACGTATTATCTGTGTCACTGTGTCAAATGACCCAAACTACCTGAAAAACCGGTGGCACTGCAACAAGAACTACTGAAAGAATTGCTGAATTTTTGGTATATAAAATATCTATTCTCCCTTGATATCTATAAACAGTTTGGTTCCCGACGAAATGCACGAGAGGACTAAGCAAATTTCTCTTTTACATTGGTGAATAATTTATTACATAATTGGCGCTGTTAAAATTAGTTTGTCAAAATGTAACATAGATAGATGTTACATTTTGAGTATAGATATTTTTATAATCGCACTTGTGAACCTGCCTCTTTATTAATACATTGAATATAATTTTAGATTTTTGTATAACTTTTCTTCAATTTAACTTCGAAAGTGAGCTATTATTGTTACAAATTAATTTTCAAAACTACAGAAAAGTTATTGTTAGGGAAGCTCAAATGTGGAAAAATTGGACTGATGTTGATATGCGATAGTAACACTGCTGTTATGTTAGATTTACTAATGTTCTATTTTATCTTTTTTGTTATCCGATTACTCAATTAATCATAAAATAATAATCAATAGATTACTCGATAACTAAAATATTCATTTACAATAGCCCTAGAGTACTATGGAGTAGAAAGCTGAGGTCATTGTTTCTCCATACATCCAGTGGGTGGCGCTGGTTGCTACACTCAATGGTAGCCACACAGGCACACCCGCTAGAAAGAAACAAATGCACTGAGCACAACACTTTCATTATATTGGCTGAGGTTGCCAGGCGACTGTGCCAAAAGCAAGCAGAAAATGTTTTGTAAGTGAGCAGAAAGTTCAAGACACAGCAGTTCAACAGCGAGAGCAGAATCAGTGTCTTTTCCACCGCTAGCCCATTGACTTAAATTATATTTTGGATTTTCTCAGCTTTCTGAGAAAATCATGCTTATTACAGCTGAGTGTTGGTAGTTGTGCGCTGCTTCACCTGCTGTCTGGCCACTCCGGACATCTTTTTTTTCCTGCATTGAGCCTCGATGTAGCCAAACTCCATCAAGTGCTTGTTTTTTTAAATGCCACATTAGATTTGTTGTGTTGATGCATTTTGATGTGCTTCACCCCCGAGGTAATTTTCCACCACAACACCCAAACGTCCCCATTTACTCTTAGATCGTTATAGTTCCAGGCAAGAGGATTTGTTGTTGCGTGCTTGTGCAGTGTTAAGGAGAGAGGAGATAGGCTGCACACGCAGGCTGCAAAGTGAGATAAATGTGATCAGTTATGGTGATCGGTAACACTAGACAGTGATTGTGTGCGTTTGTTTGTAATACCTTGTGGGGACAATTTTCCTGACATATACTACGTTGTGGGGACCAATTGCTCCTTGTGGGGACCGGAGCCTGGTCCCCACAAGGGGTCAGAGTTAGGACTAAGGTATGAATTGAGTTTTGGTTGGTTAGGGTTAGGGTTAGGAAAAGGGTAAAGGTAAGGTTTAGGCTGTAGAAATGAATGGGAGTCAATGGAAAGTCCCCACAAAGATAGCAACACAAACGTGTGTGTGTGTGTGTGTTTTTTCTTTAAAATGTATTATTTTTATTTTTGTGAGGTGACCTTATGTGCCCTGAAAGCACCTTTTAAATCTAATATATAATTATTATTATAAATACTTATACCTCTACAAACAAGGATGTTGCCATGGTAATTGCTTCAGGAGGTGGCAGACTTCCGGGTATATATACTAATTTACATATATGTTTGTGGGTGGCGACAGGGCGGACCAGTAGCTGCGCTCTGTTCAAATTGGGATGCATAAAGGAAAGATGTGTAGCCACGTGCGTGCACACAGCTTTATACATCTGTGCGCCACAATTTTCTAAATTTGTCCATACACCAAGTTTTAGTGTGAAAACTGAGCATGAAGCCCCGGTGAGCTACCTCCATCTCTATTTAGACTTAAATAAGTAGATTAACACATCTTAATATGGTGTATTCTGGTTTAGTTTTCTGTGCGTTAGATGTATTGTAGGATATTAAAAATGCGCCACAGAAGCCTGAGACTGACCTGATCCTCAACCTTTTCATTTTGACCTGATCCGGTATTCTGACTGTCTGTCATACCCGTAAATCCAGCATACCTTGTGGTAATGCACACATTGATGTTACGTCACATACTGCTTACTCACCAGATTTCTTATAAATCCGTCATACCTGTAGAAGTTTCATTTTGTGTTATGTTTCTCAGAAGTTTACGGTAAATTTTCTTTAATTAAGCTGCTATGTTAATCAAACATATTAACATAAATGACTTTTGCTGTTTCCTGTATCGTTACCAAACTGTAAACAAGACATTAGTCCCGTTTAGCGTCATTATTACTACACATACTGTTTGACTACAAATTTGGTCAGGATATTTTCTCCCTGTAGCTAATCTACCTTTTTAATATTTCAATATTTCTTCAGAAAACTGCACGGAATATGTCCTAAAAAAGCTCATGAATAACTGGATGCTGACTGAAGCTGTTAGGCAACAAGCAGAACATCACCTCTTTCTGGACACTGCGTGGAAATAACTAGATTTTTCTTATTTTATGTTTTTTATTTACTGTAAACTTCTGAGAAATAAAACACAACACAAAACTTCTACAGGTATGATGGATTTATAAGAAACGTAACATCAATGTGTGCATTATGACGAGGTATTACAGACAGTCAGAACACCGTCCAAACTTGGATTTGGGTCGAACTCGGCCTTTAGATCTGACATGTAGGAAACATCCACTACATGCATGGAGCTCTTTAGTTGCTGCTAACAGGTGACATTTTTTGTTCCTTCTGCAAAAGACTGACTTAACTGTGAGTGTTAGAACAGAAGCTGGCATTTTATACATGTACAAGAAAATACATCTTGGCAGGGCTAAAATGTATTTCACATTATTAAAATGTGAAACCATGCCCTTTTCGTTCCACTTGTTTTTCTGAAAATGAAATAAAATAAATAAATAAAATGCATATTAGTTTATGGTTGCAAGTATCCTACATACATAACCAACCTCCAGGTTAAAGGTCAGCACAACATCAGATTTGGACAGTACGTCTCCTTCATCCCCTATATCCAAGAAGGAGTTGTTCATAGAGGAGCGCTTAAGCTTCTGTTTGAAGTCTGGACCTCCTTTGGACACGGGCAGACTCTCCAAGTTAGCCATCAGCAAGTTGACAGAAGAACGCAACTCTTCAATGTACAAAGCCTCCATGTCAGTAGAGACAAACTTTGGATTTGTCCTTTCCTACAGTATGTACAGAGAAAAGTTACCTTTAACTTTCTTAATTGACATATAAAAAACACCTGCAAACACTAAACTTTTCAAACTATTAGTAAAGTACTTATGAGCAGCTAATATCAAATGTGTGGCTCATTTTAAACACATATTGTGCTATAAATTGCTCGACACGATCCCAAAGAAACCAGATCTCACCCTAGCAATCTTCTCAGCCAGCTGTAGCCTCCCATCCAGCTCTCTGCGGATCTGAGCAGCTTGTTCATCCACATTGTCAAGCTGTAAAAAAAAAAGCAAACAAAAATGAAACAGAAATAAAAGAAGAGCACTGTGTAAAAGATGAAAAACATCCATGTTTTAGAAGCAAATTTAAAAAGTTTCTTGTTTGGATATGTGGAAGCCCTGCTGTAACATCTGAAAATATCATTCTTGTTTTACTCATCGCTGCCTGTCTTTACTGCTCTACACACTAACAGCTTCAGTGAATAAAATGACAAGTCAAGGACAAAGGATAAAAAGAAAAAAAATTCTGGACACTTTAGGATGAAACAGCAAACTGATTTACTTTCCATTTTTTGAGCAGCATTTAGAGTGACAAAGGATAAGAGACCTGATTCAGTCATTGTTCACTAGAAATCCAGTCCATTTGCTCCATCTCTTTTTTGTAAAGGTCCGGTTGCCGTCTCAGCATGAACATTAACTTTTCCATTTTGTGGGTTTCTTCCAAAAGTTCCAGCCAGTCCTTTAGCATTGGTGGGTCAGGTTGAAGCCATTTCCGAGTAATCAGCTTTCTGGCTGTAGCACTGAAGATTTTTAATAAGTATTTGTCACTCATGTCCAGACCCTCAGGAACGGCTCTGACCAGCAATAACATGGTGGGTTGTTGGAGTTTAAGACCCAAAATTGACTCAATATTCCTCAAAACATCCTTCCAATAAGTCTTGATCTTTATGCAGGACCAGAGAATATGGGAGTGGTTTGCCCATCTTGAGATATTTCAGTATTCAACTCTACCTCCCATCTTTACCTAATATAATCTATTGACTTTCCTTTGGATCTCAACAATCCCTGATAAAGTAAGAAAATGGTGATTTTGCCAGACTTGGACTAAGCTTGTGAGAGCAATTGAATTATCTAGTTAGACTCTGAGATACAGTCTTTCAATATGTTTGAAAAAAAGATATTGTCTAAATTGCAAATATCTAAAGAAGTCCCCTTTTTCTAAATCATATTTTTGAAAGCTTGGTAGTGTATTTTTGTCCAGTGTCCTGCACTGTGCAGTTATTCTTTTCTGTGACCAGTTTTTAAAACTGGAGTCTAATTGGTTGGGGATGAAATCTGAGTCAAAGGCGGCCCATCTGAGAACTGTCATCTGGTTACCCAAGTTTAATTCCTTAACCACTTCAAACCAGGTCAAAAGGGTAAATGACACTAGGGTATCTAATTTTTTTTTTGGCATGCTGTTGCAAGTTTCTGATCCCCAATCATTTTCTCCTCTCCACCCCCATCTTATGTTCGTTCCTTCGCCTGCCCCCACCATCCCAAACGACATTTCCCGTGTTCTCAAACCCAAAGCTGGACAGGTATGGGGCAAGGTTAGAGTTCATCTATTAAACTTAATGAATACATAAACTAAAAGCTGGAGCACAGACATTTTTATAAGCGTATTTGTGAGCCTGCCACTTTATTATTAAATTGAATATAATTTCAGATTTTTGTATAACTTTTCTTCAGGTTAACTTAGAAAGTGAGCCATTATTGTTACAGGTTAATTTTCTAAACTACAACAAAACTAACTGTTAGGAAAGCTCAAATATGAAAAATTGGACTGATAATGATATCCAATAGTAACCAGATTTATGGTATGCCAGATTTACCAATATTTTATTTTATACATTTTTTTAATCCAATTACTCGATTAATTGTAAGAATAATTGATAGATTACTCGATAACTAAAATATTCGTTTACAACAGATCTATTTCACACCCTCAGCGCAAAACTGCAGCTCTGACAGGACTTTGACCCGCTGCATCACTTCTCTCTTTATTGCCGTCAGTTCTTCAGAGAGATGAGCTACTTAAAGCTCTGCTAAACCACAGTCGTTCCGCTGCAAAACTTAACATATGTGTTCTTAGTGCTGCTCATGATTAAACTCAATCACTCTCCTCTAGACTGAGCAGCTCTCTGATAGACAAAATGTACGTGGGCCACAGCTGAATTATATGAAAAATGCTGTTTGGGGTTTACCATAAGATCATCATGAGCCAGCCAACAAATATAGTCAGCTGTCAATCAGATCGACACAGCTCAGTTAAACTTGTACTACCACTGAAGTGAGTAGGGATAACAGAACAGCCATGCAGAGAGTTGGAGTAATTCATAACAATATGAATCTGGCTGGGCGGACAGAGGCAGACCCGGTTGAAGGCGCTCTAGTGGAGAAGTTAACTAACTAAAAGAGTTTGCTTAATCTAATTGAAAAGCCACCATTTTAAAAAATGCTGCAAACATTTGATACCCAGTACAGTGTAATAAGTTTACAATTTTTCACCAAAATCCTAAATGGCAGTTGGCTTCTTCTTCTGCCTGAGCCAAATGATTAATACATTTTAAAGGCCAAGTTTACTTAAAGAGACTACGAAATCCATTTTATTTATTTATGGTTTGTTTATGTAGTTTGGATATTTAAATTGTCTTCCAGTTTCAGAGTTAAATAATCTCTAGGAATTAATTTATTGACCTTTGAGAGAGTGTACTAAAATTATTGCTGTTCAGATGTTTGACCTTGTGAAGAGATCCTGGGACTGGAGTCCTTCTGCATGGAGTTTGCCTGAGTCCGTGTGTGGGTTCTCTTCAAATAATTCAGCTTCCTCACAGTCTACAAATATGACTATTAAGTTGATTGGTCTTAGGCGTGAGTGTCTTCATGTAGACAGTCATATCCTTAACAAGTCAAATCATTGTACCAAATTATTAAGTCATTAGAAGGGCTCTGTAGAGTTTGACTGCATGATGAGGAGCTAATTCAGCCATTTGTTTCAGGTGTTTTGGATGAGAAACAATTGAAATTTACAAGTCAGAATGATACACATTGGGGAAGCACAGATATGTACATTAGGGACAATATCTACTAATATATACCTGTTATGGCCAATAACCAATATTTAAAGATGTTAACACACCGTGGAAAAATGACCACATCACTGCTAGAATCACATAAACAAGATCGTGAGCTGGTTCACCATCACTGTCAGATGACCAAACAAACTCCACATGACCAACCTCCTGCACGCCCCCTTCCAGAAACCAAACGCAACAAGAATTGGTTGCTAATATTAGCCCAGTTTTACTTCTGGGACAATTACTGACATGTTAAAAAAATGTCAGCTGATAAACATGTTAATGCATCTCTAAGGTGAGGTCATCTGCTAACAAAAATCCACTTACCTGACAGGCGTTGTATAGCAGCTGATGCTCAAACTTGCGTATGCCCAGTATCTGCTGGAACATTTCATACAGCTGCTCTTTACTGAGGATGAGCTCTGAAACAGCACTCAGGTGTGCCCGCTGTGTTTGGCGCCGCATGTCTTCCTCCCCACGGTAGATAGTATCATACTTGGTAATCCAGGAGCTCAGCACAGTCTCTTTACTCAAGCCATCGATCTCTGGAAGGCTGCGCACCCGGCGCTCAATGTTTTTCTTAAAAACCTCACGAAAGTCATTGGCTGAGCACCCACCGCTTTGAACCATTCGGGAAACTCTCTCACTCTTCAGAAAACCCTGTTTAGAGAGAGAAGAAACTTACTTACTCATTTGTTCATATAGTCCACTGAAATATCTTCAATGTGTCAACACTTTCAAAGGAGAAAAAGGGAATTGTTTAAGTTTAAATGCAGTCTGACTTGTTTGCGGCCAAATAAGTCCAAATAAGTCAAATAAGTCACACCGAGGTCATTTTGGTAAGACTGAAAGATTATCAGCAAAAATAGGTCAAGTTAATTCATTACCAACATTTCCATAGGTCTTTAAGCCATCAATGAGCCAACTTACTACCACAGTGCCTTTCAGATACTGTGGGAAGAAACACTGAGTAAGACGGGTAACGCTTTATTTGAAGGGGTGTGAATAAGACTGACATAACACCTGTCATGAACATCAATAAGCCTTCATGAATATTTATGACTGTTTTCATAAAGTGTCATTCGGTAAATAATGACATTTTTAAAACAAAGTTGACATTATTCAAAATGTCTTTGTTATGACAACTTGACATAAACCAAGAAATCATGATCTGACATAAATTTGTTATAAAAGTATTAGCAATTAAAGTTTAAAAATTATGTGGCTTTATCTGGTAATATTATATTGCTCTTCCATTTTGTTTAGTCTTAAATTTCTAAATGATCTAATTGATCTGAAGTTTTACAACAAAATGTCTGCAAAGCACTTATGAACTTTGCATTTGAAACATTATTTAAGGCTGTTTAAAGTAGTGTAATACACCATCTCTACCAGTGAGAGGCAGCAGTGCACAAACAGGCGTGCAGTGTGTGGGTGAAGAAGAAATCTTCCATCTTGTGGAGACAGGCAAGTGGCAGGGGGAGCAGGAATCAACACTCACCAGCTGAGTTAACAAGTTACATTTTAGACAACTAATTATTGTCAAATGTAAAACTGGTGTTTAATGCCATAAGCCAGATTATCTGGTTGGAAATAATTTCAAATGCTTATTAAGTGAAAAGATACACTCATGTGCCTAAAACTATACATTAAATAATGCATTCTGAATAACAGGCTGTATGAATTTCTGCCAGACAAATATTTGATCAGAATAATTTTGTTCAGCTCCAGTCATTATGCTACTTGTATTAAGAAATAAATGTATTGTACTTTATAACAACCAGTCACGTTAAGTAGTCCAGTGTTTTCCACTTCACTTGAGGTAAGACTCAACATTAATGACTATGTTAATATAGCACTTGACAATGTAATGACTCTTAAAGACATTTTCATAACTGTTGCTAATGGTTTCACTTTACTTGAGGTAAGAGTTAATATTAATGACACTGTAATAACACTTAATGACACCTTCATAATTGGTGCTACTTGTTCCACTCGATGCAAGAATAATTATTAATGACTCCAATATTAAATCATTTGACAGTGTAATAAAACTTAATGAAATCTTTATTGTTGGTCCTACTTGTTCCGCTTTATTTCAGGTAAGGGAAATGTTAATTACTTTTTTGTTAAAGCTTTTGACAGTGCAATAACACTTAATGACATTATGACCACTATTATGACAAATTTATGTCAGATCATGATTTCTTAGTTAATGTAAAGTTGTCAATAACAAAGACATTTTGAATAATGTCAACTTTGTATTAATAGTGTTATGATTTTCCGAATGACACTTTATGACAACAATCATAAGTATTCATGAATACTTACTCATGTGCATAACAAGTGTTATGTCATGTTTATGACGGTGTCATGTCAATCTTGTTCACACCCCATCAAATAAAGTGTTACCATAAAATATTTAAGGTTCTCTTTACCAGAAGAAAATGGTCTGAAAATACTTTAATACAAAGTTTATACCATGCAATTCCAACAGAAATCCAAACAAATAGGCCCATAAACTGTCATGTCTGGTACAGGGGTCTGAAAAAGCTACGGTGACCTTTACAACTGTCCCAACCCCATCCAGAGACGGTGACAAAAAATAAAATACGCTTCATCCAAACAAGTTAGTGAACATGAGCTGCCTAGAACGAAACAGTTCCAACCCTCCAACGAGCTTCAACCTCAACTCCACCTCCCAGGTTCCAACAGACTCCTGCCTACTGTGGGTTTCCACCCTATGGGGAGCACCTGTGGCCTGCATCAGGGTCTTTCTTGATCATCTCATTCTGACATTCACAAAGTTCATGAAAGCTAAAACAATGAAAAATTTAATGAAAACAGCTTTAAAGCACAACTGTTTGGACAAAGGCTGAAGCTCTTGGTCTATTGTATCCAATTATTTATTTATTTTTTATTTATTCCTTTATTTAACCAGGTAAACCCCATTGAGATCTAGTCTCAAGGGGGACCTGGGCAGAAGTCTGCAGTACACAGCAACCTGGTTACAAAACAAAATTGATTAATACTACATATACACAATTATAAAACAGAATAAAACAATTTAAAAACAGTGACACTGTTTAAAAGATTCTCGTTGCCTGTTTTTAAGAATCGCTCAAAATAAATCCAGTGAAATCAAATCTGACATCTTGATTTCAGACTGAAGGAGCCATCACACTGAAAGCTTGCTTTCCTTTTTCAGTTCGGCAGTGTGGAACATGCAAAAGAAAAATGTTGGAACGTAAAGAATGGGAACTAACAGATCTATGTAAAAGAGAGTTTAAATATGCTGGAGCCAAACCGAGTAGAGATTTATAGATCAGGATCATCAAGTGATTGTTTCTCCGTACGCTTAAAGGAGGCCATTCAGCATCTGCATACAGCTTACAATGATGTATGAAACGTCTGCTACCAGTTACAAACCTCAAAGCACAATGATAAACAGTATTTAATGACTGAAGGCATTTAGCCGAAGCATTCATATATAAAACATCACCATAATCCAAGAGTGGCAGGAAAGATGCAGCTACCAATTTACTTCTAGCTTTAAGTGAAAAACAAGAACCATTTCGGTAATAAAACCCAATCTTCATTTTCAGTGTTCGTAGCATATTTGCTATGTGATTTTTAAAAGAAAGTTCTTTATCTAAAATGAAGCCCAAATATTTATAGGTACTGACAAACTCAATTTGTGTCCCTACAGCAGTGGTAAGCAGTAGAGGGATGTCTGGTAGTTTTCTAGAGTTTGAAAAAACCATTGCCTTCGTCTTATCCACATTTAGAACTAATTTCAGAGTTTGTAAGCAGGTTTGAACTAGATTAAAAGCAAGCTGCAGATACTGAATTGCCTGTACAAGTGATGAAGAATAGCAGTAAATCACTAAATCATCTGCATAGAAATGATAAAAAGCATTTGACAGATTTTCACACAAGTTATTTATATAAATAGAAAATAAAAGTGGTCCAAGAACTGAGCCCTGTGGGACACCATTTAAAATCGTACGAGTAGAAGAAGTGAAGCCAGCCAGTTGAACTCTCTGGGTTCTGTTTGACAGGTAATCGGCTATCCACAGGGTAGCTCGATGTGAGAGCCCAATCCTGTGTAAAATATCAATTAAACGCGTGTGATTTACTGTGTCAAATGCCTTTGATAAATCAATAAACAGAGCAACACAATGCTTTTTGTTATCAAGAGCCTGAATAAGATCATTAATAACCTTTAAAGTGGCAGTAACAGTACTATGTTTTTTCCTAAAACCAGACTGTACATTTTGTAAGACACAATTAGAATCTAAAAAATTCTTCAATTGATCTGCCACTAATTTTTCAAAAATTTTTGCTAGGATACATAGTTTAGAAATTGGTCTGTAATTGTTTACCTGTGACGTTTCTCCACTTTTAAATAGAGGTAAAACAACTGCTGATTTCCAGACACTAGGAATTTTATTAGAACTTAAACTTAGATTAAAAATATGAGACAATGGCTCTGCTATAAACTCTGCAGCTAATTTTAGAAAAAAAGGATCCAAGTTATCAGGCCCTGCCGATTTTTTGGTGTCTATATTTTTCAATTCTCTGAGAACCTCAGCTGTACAAATAGGGGAAAAATCAAAAGTGGTGAAGTTACAATCATTATTTAGAAAGTGCTCATCAGTGTTTTGGCTAGAGGAAATTAAATCATCAAATAGAGAGCCAACAGAAATAAAATGCTCATTAAACTAATTTATCAGACAGCATTTTACTTTTATTCCAAATAAAATTCGGAAAGTCAGTCAGTGGCGCCTGCTCAGTAGCTGATTTCACTGTTTTCCAAAATTTCTTTGGATCATTTAAATTTTTTGTCATCTCGGCAAGGAAATAGTCTGACTTTGCTTTCCTAATTAATAAGGTACACCTATTTCTCAATTTCCTATAGCAAAGCCAGTTGTCTTCAGTTTTATTTTTCCTTGCCCTTGCCCAAGCTGCATCTCTTTGTTTAAGCAGAGCCCTAATATCTGAGGAAAACCATGGATTATTTTGCCCCTTTACCCTAATTTTACGTACAGGAGCATGTTTATTTATTAGTCTTAAAATCTCGTCATGAAAATACTGCCAAGCAAGGTCAACATTATCAAAGAGAGAGACCCTACTCCAGTTAAAATGTAGCAAGTCATGGACAAAAGCTTGTTCATTTAGGTGTTTTAAATCTCTTTTGATCAAGATTCGTGGCTTAGGTTTTGGTAACTTGAGATTTCTAACTGTACCTACAGCACAATGGTCACTAAGGTCGCTTGCAAAAACTCCTATCCCTGTATATTTATGCGGAGCGTTTGTCATAATTAAATCTAGGAGTGATGATTTTAGAGGGCATTTGTTGTTAAGTCGAGTGGGGTAATTAATTAACTGGGTGATATTTAAAGAATCACAGTTTTTAAGCTATCTGAGGATGCTGTCAACCAGTCTAGATTTAAATCTCCTAGCAAAACAAATTCATTGTTATTTAGGTCGGCTATATATTTAGACAAATTAGGGAGTGCATCAGATACAGCAGAGGGTGGTCGATAACACCCTATAACTGTGATATGCTGAGCCTTAGTGAATTCAATTTTCAAAGCTAATAACTCAAATTGTTTTGGAATGGATACAGAAGATATAAGTGTAACATGGAAGTTGTTCTTTACATAGATGGCAACACCGCCACCTTTCGCAAGACGATCACAACGAAAAACATTATAACCTTCCAAGGAAATGTTTTTATTTGTAATGGAATTATTTAACCATGTTTCAGTCAAAACTAAGATGTCCGTATTAGTAGATTCAATCCAGATTTTAACCAGGTCTATCTTAGGC